AAAGTAGGGAAACTGAATTTAACTTGACTATGCATTCAAGAAAACTTTCACACATTCATGAAGTTACACGATGCACTCTTGGAGAAAGAAAATGGATGCCAAAATAAAAGAAAAATTCACTACCATGTTGCTATTATCAGAACCTTAGAGAAGGAGAGGGGTACAGGGGAAAATGTATACCCTATGAAAACTGCACCAAGTACTATGTTTAGCAACTGTCTTTGTGAACTAGGCCAGGTCACATTGGAGGGTGAATCACTGAGCTCAGGCTGGGTGTTCAAAAATCCATTACAAAAGTCACTTCCAGAGATGAAATCCAACGTTCATGGAACTAGGCCGTGAGGCTCTTCTTCTGACTGGGTGTGGTAGGGGAAAAGAAGAACTCGAGTGAAAAATGAACCCCTCAGACAAGGCTGGGACTAGAGAACGATGGATCTGAGTGAGGTCTGGTTCCACAAGCCAGTCATGTGGTTTTGAATAATCATTCATTTTCAGTAAATGCAGGGAGCTGGCTTAGTGTCCTGAAGAGTACCTCTGACCAAAAGCTGTGAGAGTGACAGGGATTACTAACATGTGATTAACACAAGCCAGACAGCATACACAATGCTCCTCACGGATGACCTCACTTTATGTCACAATAACCTTTAAGATGGCCAACAAACTTAGACATAACATAATATCAGCAAGGTTGGCTATGCAAGAAAGTGCCCCCCACAAAGCATTCTCTCTCACAGTCTGAGAGAGCGAGCAAGGATGACTCACGACCCTGCATCAGCAACCATAGGGCCTGACCATTCAATGGTTACTACACCTCTGTAAGAAAAGTCTGCAACATGAGATTCTCAGCAGTATCTCTCCCTTCTTGTTTCTATGCTAAGAGGAAGCAAGGGATGAGCTCTAACTGACCAGAGTCTCCAAAACCAGCAAGGGACACACAGCCTCCTCAGAGGACTTCAAAGGTGCTCACTTACTAAGCTAAATACCCTAAATGTCGTGTAGGAAAATTTCTCTAAACCGCTCCGATTCTTCAAGAATTTAGACTTTTAGAAACATATTTAGTAAGTTACACAACACTCATCTCCATTGTATTCTGGCAGTGAGGAAAATCCTACACTTCCTTGCAACTCCGAGACAGAAAGTAACCAGTAAAAAATCACTTTTCAGGACACTCATTAACATGCCCAGTAACAGTTCTGGGTTTTGATCAACAAGATAAGATAGCAGATATTAAGGGAAGGTGAGCAGTTGTTCTTAAGACATGCACAACAAAGGACATTCGGCCCCCTCAATTCTCACCTTTCCAGAGGCTAGGGAGATCAATAAAGCACCAATCAATTCTTTTAAAAAAGGAAAAACAAAAACCTCAAGGTGCCATTTATGGGAGGGGGGTGGCATAAACAAGTGAGGACAGAAAGCTTCACATTAAAAGTGGCACTGATTTTAAAATGATGGGTTAACTTTTTGCAAGAACACAGTTAACCACAGATAAAAAAGAATCACACAGAGAACATGGAGTGATATGTACAAATTAAATGAAAATGTCAAAGCATAAATAAGAATGGAGTAAGTTGACAAAATCTGGGCTACACATTATTTTTTGAAGCATTAAAGTTGAATGTCACCTTGTCCAATTTGAATGCTGGGCCAACTATCTCTCTGGCTCTCTCTGTTCCAAGGTTAATTTTGCAGGTCCAGTCTTTAAGTACTCTGACTTGTGACCTGTTAACCCATGAGAATTGTAGTGATTTGAATACCCCCACTGGCTCATATATTTGAATGCTTGTTTCTTGGTGGAACTGTTTGGGAAGGATTAGGAGGTGTGGCCTTCATGGAGGAGGTGTGTCACTGGGCAGGGCGGCTTTGAGGTTAGCTTCCCTTTCTACATCTCATGGTTGTCACACATGTGAGCTCTTAGCTACTACTCCGGTGCCATTCCTGCCTGTCTGCTGCCATGTTTCTTGACATGATGATCATGGACTCACCCCCTGAAGCTTCAAGCAAGCCCCGAATTAAATGCTCTGTTCTTGTAAGTTGCCTTGGTTACGGTGTCTTATGACAGCCGTGAGAAGTGACTAAGACAGGCATCTTCCAGCATCTCCTCTGCAAAAATACCCTTTTCTTAAAGAGTTGTCCAATCCCGATGACCTGTGTTTCCCTGCTTAGCATACTTTGGTGGCGTTCCCGTTACCCAGGCTTCAAACCTTCAAACTTCAAACACTTCAGCTTCACCCAAAGTGTCTGACAGTAAAGGGGAGAAGACAGAATGATCAAGAGAGGGCAGTTCAAAGACGTGAGCATGATGGGGCGGCATACAGAGTGAGAAGGTTGACAGTCTAAGTCGCAGGCAGCTGCTGGGGTGAGCCAGCCTACACTACACTCCGTGGCTGGGCTCCTGAGACATCTGCTTGTCAGCTCCTACAAACACAGCATGGACTCACTTTGCAAATACAGAAAATGCAAGTGTAAATATGCCTACATAAAACATACGCTCATCTGCTAATAACGGGCGATGGGGCAATTCTTGCAAGTTTGGGACTCAGGGAAATAGAAATAGTCACTCTAAAAAAAAAAAAAATAATAATAATCAAATAACACCTCTGAGGCCACAAACAGAACTCAGAATCAGAGCTACCAGGTGATTTTATGTTGATTTTATCTAAATTACTGTCTTAGTAAATTGTTATTTAGTATTTATTAAATCTCAGGATCTCTGAGATAGGCACATTGATCAAAAGTCTCCCTATCTATAGGCCCACAGACATGAGCTCAACTCAGAGGATCTGAGGCCTGGCACGCTGACCCACAGAGTCACCTTCCCGCCCCGCCATTGTGGCTCTTGTCACACTGAGAGCACTCTCCTGGCCTCTCCCAATGCTCCCCGAACCCTTAACTCTTCTATCCACGAGCAGCTAAGATGACCAGGCTGAAATTTAGAACTGAGTGGCCAAGGATGGAAAATGGGCAGAAAGATGTCAGGGAGGAAGAGACCAGTACCTTTTTCGGGCCAAGCAGTCCTCGGAGCTCCTGGAAACTTGTAAGTGACACACTGCAGTGCAAACCTTGCATCTCACTTGGAAACCAATACTCATCGATAGTATGTTGTGGGGAAATGAGCTGCAGTCTCCAAGTGAATCCCACTGCTGTACACTGAATGCTACCAGCACCCAATGCCAGAAAACTGATTCACAGTACTGAGATCCAGCCTCTGGACTCACCCATCTGATCCTTTCTGGGTTTCTGTGGCACTGTACTGTCACTTCTCTGTCAACTTGTGGAGTAACAATGGATACATTTTTAGGCAGCAACTTTGTTGAGGCAATATTTACACTGGCTTCACTGAATGATGACCTTTCTTTTGCAAAGGTTAAGGGATAAAACAACAACTCTTTTTTATAGGTTTAAAATGGACCAGTGACTCTGCTCTTCTTTCAGTGACTGTTCAAAACTCAAGCTCAGAGTCCAAAGCTAACACAGAAACTGTCACCAAAAGATCCAATAATACAAAAGAAAGCCTCACATCTTTGGCTCTGGCTCCATGCTGGCATGGTACAATGCCACTGACCTTTCAGCCCTTCCTTTATGCTCACTCACTCTCTGTTCGCAACTGCTGCCCCACAGTCACGCACCGCAAGCATCACCAGGACTGACCACCTCTTTCCCAAGTGTCTGTCTTCCGGAACCTTCCAAAACATAACTTCAAGTTTATGGTTTCTCACCATAAGCTTGAGGTAGTATACCTGGAATTGACCCATTTCATAAGCTCCCACTACAAAGGACTGAGGAGCCGAAGGCCTCCGGAGCCTCGCTAGCGCCTAGCAGGCATCACAAATTCTGCGCGCTCGCCTCACAGGGCAAGACCAGGGAAGTGTTTCAGCACAAACACACAGCTGTGCCAGCAGCACATGCTTGCATTATTACAAGTCACACGGCATCCTTCCCGGCCCAGCCTAAGTTCCTCATCCTGGGCATGAAGTCTGTAAATCCCTAAACATCCACAGTGCACACATTCACCCTTCCCGGCTGTCTGCAGTTTGCTTCCTTTATTCTTAAATCCTTCTCTCATCTTAGGGTGAGCTGAAGTCATTTACTGGGAGATATCCCGGAATCCCCGTCACTCACTACATCCAGCTGTGCACCTACCCACAGCATCACACAGCAAGGACAGCAACCGTCTAATCTGTGCTCATTCCCTGTGCACCCGAACATAAAGCCACACACCAACAGCTAAACTGGATGCCTAATAAATCCTCCCACGACCTTTGCAAACATCCGAAAAGCTCGTTCTCAACACAAGTGGCAATGTTTTCAAGCAAAGGGTATGAAAAACAGAGCGTGCATTGCAGAAACGGTGAAGCATTTAGCATTTCTCTAACTTTGAGAAACACTGGCTAGCAAACAGAAGTAGATGAAACAAGTGACGAGAACCGACGAGCCTGGCCCTGTCTCTAATTATGAGGTCTGAGGCCAGCACTAGCTTCCATGTATGGAAAAAGGTGCAAACTCTGACCTGCTCACCACACTGGACTGCCCTGAAGAGTAAATAAATCGACACTGGAATACTCTCTAAACTGGAGCAACTGCCAAATGGACAGCACAGTGGCTAAAAGGGGAAGTCCTTGTACTTATTCCACAGAGCACAGGGAAGCTTAACGCGTGTTATGTTAAGATTATTATTATTTATTTACGTGTGTGTGTTTACTCTTTGTGTGTGTGCGTACCCAAAGCCCAGGACAGTGAAGCAGGCCTTTGGAGATGACTTACAGGGTTATTTTAAGATATGCATTTATTTATTTGTGTATTTGTGTGTGTGTACAGACCTCTGAAGCTGACTCATAGGCAGTTGTAAGCCCCTGAACTTGGGTGCTGGGACTGAACTCAAGTCCTCTGCAAGAGCACAGGTGCTGAGTGGTTCTCCAAAGCTTGTTGTACTTGTTGCCTTACCCATGAGCCAAGGGCAGAGGGAAAGACACAATTTGATGCAGACATATTTTGGAGTTTACCTTTGACTGCATTGTGCGCAGATTAACCAGATGGATGTCACAGGGTAAAGATGACTGGAGCAGAGACAGCTCATTCAGCAGCTCGACAGCGGGTGAGGAGAGCTTGACATTCAGTATCATGGGAAGGAATGGATGGTTGAGGAAGGACGAAGTCAAGTGGCTGAGGAGGGAAGGGTAACTGACTGGACTCTTCTGCTCTTCTTCCTATCAAGAAAAACCAAAAATGCTTACCATAGCACTCACCAAATTAATTCATTGTCTGACAAAGTTTAAAAAGAAAACCACATGACTGCTCTGAGTTGTATGTCACCTATGACAGTCACAGAAAATATACAGTAGAGTATAGAGCCCATGGAAGGCAAAGTAATAGTGTCCACTAACTCATGTTGTAACCATGCCCTCCATCCAGTTAATACCCAAGACACTGAAAACAATTTCCACTTTTTTATAATTAACAGCATTTTATGAAAGCTCTTGACTACTATAAAACCTTCAAAGTACAAGAGACACAATGTCCCCATATCTCACACAAGGTTGACTGTCATCACCCCTTCTGCAGGCGTCACCCATTACATTCTCAAGAGTTCACTTTACACATTAACAAGGTGCATGTGGATCTAAAACTATATTTCATAAATGGTAAAAAAAGAAAACTTTTGAACCTAAACATTACCAATTGATACAATTAAAACAAAACCAAAACAAACCAGCTTGTTGTGTTGGCACCTGCCTGTAATCCCAGCACTGGGCAAGAGAAAACAACAGCCTTGGCTAAATGATGAGCTAGAAGCCAATATGAGCTACATGAGAACACACACACACACACACACACACACACACACACACACACCAAAATTCTCAAAAGAATTTGATGTGTTCAGGACATAAAAACTACTGGCGACATCCAGTCATCTGTGTTCTTTGAATTTGGCAAGTTACCACCAACTTCTTCATTCTCTTCTATATCTTATTATATAGTTACTATACATTTACATAGTACCCTTTTACTCAGCACAGTTTGCAAACACTTCAGTCTTTGCTAGGATGTATCTATTCTTACTACGCAACATTTCTACATGTCCAACATCAAATAAGTCTACCAGGGTTAGGGATATACACAAGCAAGATGTCATAAAAAATTGAAAACTCAATGTCTAGATAGACCCTTAGCTAATAATGCCCAAGGAGTAAAAACAGACATAAGAACAGAGAGGAGAAAATGATTTATGACAGGCTGTTTGATCACCAGCTACAGTTTATGCAAGTTTAATTTTTTCTTTTTAATGACTGATATCTTCAGGTTTTGCATCTTTCTGTGTGATGCAGGACTTAAAGGTTTGGCTACCTATCTGTGTGAAAAGACTAGATTCGTAAAGATCCAGAGCTCATAATTCAGAATGTCAGAGTAGCACTGGACAGGAGGGTGCCAGCAAAGGCTGCTCGCATTGTACCAGAAGCTCAGCTAACAGAAGATTCATTACAATTCAGACCGTGGAGAGGAAAACACTTAACGGCATCAGAGGAACACTGCAGTATTAAAATGCTGGCAAAAATTAGTTCTGAAAGAATTGTATTAGAGTGTATCAATTCCCCATCCTTTTTAAAATAAAGATTAAATAAAGCACCTAAAATAACATTCTCCAGCCATTTAGTGATGCTTGCAGAAGAACATTCCTGGAAAGGACACATTCTCCACAAGGCGTTTAAATGGACTCCCAGATCAAACAACTTCATAATCTAGGTCAGGATTGCTGACAAAATCAGTTTTGAGTAATGGAAGATGAAAGATTCCAACAGGAAGGTAAACAGTCTTACAGCCTCATCAGAGTCAAGCGGCACTCAGTCCATCCTGGGTCAGGATGCACTCAGGCTTTGTGCTGTCTGGGGGCACCCTCGACACTGACACTCAGTGACAATGAGGACTTCACTGATGAGTCTTCTATTGAGAATGCTATGCATGTACACCAATCCTCCAAGCCAGGTGGGTTCCCCGGACCCTGACACTTCCCTTCATGGGGACCTTTACAAAACCCACTCATGGGTCCTAGCCCCAGCTCCAGAATCAAGAGCTCCAAGTATGAGCCTTGGCAACATAAGGCTGAAAAGGTAAAACCCAAGGATTGAGCTACAGGCTGCTCTGTGGGCCTGAGCTAGGAACAGCACCATGGACTCTCCCATGAAATCAACAAGGTTCAGAAACACAAGTGCTTTGACAAAATCTTGTAAAAGGAAACTGTTTTAAATGCAACTAGTCACAGAATTAAAGGACTGGCAGCTTTACTGTTTTCCGAAAGACAGAGATTTGAGAGAAGGGTATAGTTCCTTTTTTCCATAAAAGCACAGGGGACATATACCAATGCTAACCAGTAAATAAATTCTCAGGAAGGGTCCCCCATACATGTATTTTCCAATAATGACAGTAACAAGGAGCTCAACAGAATGTTTATAGATGAACCAACACACTTTCTAGCCCCCTAGAAAGGCAATCTAATCTTCTAAATTCCAAGTCTTGGGAGAAGGCTCAATTTCTAAAACATAAGTGCTGGAGAAGTGTCACCTGTTCGATTCAGCTGCAAATGGATCTGTCATCCCTTCGGTTACCAACACCGCTTCTAAAAGCGTCATTTGGTTTCTTATTGTTTGGAAGGTTCTGGATTATGGGAGTCTAGCCTTCTTTGTGCAGCTTGACATTAAAGACTTTCCAGCTTGTGCTCTTCCAACCACACAGAGTTGCAACCTTGCTTGTGGTGGTCTGGGATCAGCAGGTGGACTTCCCCAAGTGTTCTTTGTCCTGTATTAAGCCCAGTTTGAGTTATGTGACCTTCTAGCATCAAAGGCTTCCACTTACTTAATCAATTACATGTAAGATGGAGGTCTTCAGTTATTTTTGTTTGTTTGTTTGTGGGGCTGTGCTGTAGATGGGACCCAGTGTCTGGTGCACATGACAAAATTAACTATCACTGGACAACAGCCCAGCCTATTGCCATTGGAATTCTCTATCACAGTGAACTAAAGTCCAGCCTATTGTCACTATAGAAAGTCATCTTTGCTTACTCAATTTGAACTGACCCTCAGTAGGAGCCTAATAAAAGTGTGTGGTAGTAAGTCTATTTATTTAATAAGCCATGCTTTTGTAGGTTTTCAGGGTAGTAAAAAGTTTTTAGAAGCTACCTCTTTAGAAATTCAGATTTAAAAAGCAAAAAGCATGTGCAAGGTGGTACAGTTTTAAATCCCAGCACTTGGGAGACAGAGGCAGTTGGATCTCTGTGAGTTTGAGGCCAGCCTGGTCTACACAGAGTTCAGCCTGCTAAGCCTACATAGTGAGACCCTGTCTCAAAAAACAGTAACAACAAAAACAAACAAAAAACCACACACAAAAGGTACCCCCCTCAAACCTCCCTAAACAGATATTTGCTTTTTGATCAGAAACTAGAATTCTGAGTTATACCAGACCAGCATTCCCACATAAAAACCCTCAGCTGGAGTTGACATGCTCAATGGGACACATGTCCCCAAGTTTACCAGGGCATTCTGGTTCCCACTAACACCAGCATTTGCTCTTAAAGCTGGTAAGTGCTCCATGCTAGGGCTTCATTATGTGAAGAGACGTGGCATCCAGAGACACATCCACAGGGCTTCCACATCTCCAGCACATTAAGAAATGAAAGGAGCTTGGGATAAAGATATCCTTTATTAGAAAAACACCAGCCAAACGCAAGCCAGAGCATGCCAGGAGCAGCGAGGCGGGGAGGCTAGAGAGGAAAGGGGGCTCCCATGTGCTTTGCAACCCCTTAAGAACCCCTCACATATCATTCTGACCTCACCTTGACCACGCCTATCAGGGTGTGGTCAGGCACACCTGTAGCCAGCCTCTAACAGGCGTGGCTTACTGTCCCCTACACCAACAGTCATTGCCAGGAAATTCCATTCATTGCCAGGAAAGAGGGAGGACGCCAAAAAATCAAATCTCGAGGAAGTGAATGGCAGAAACAATTTCCACTGCTCTGTCGGACAACAGCCGGGACACTGTCTCCCCTGGTGCCCCACATCTGTGTCCCCACGGCCTCTGCAGGGGAGCCCGGAGCAGCACCCACTGCTGGAGTCTGAGTCTGGGCATCTCTGCCTTCCACGGCTCTTTCACCATCATTATTTTGAACATTAGAACAGTGGGAATTAAAAACACTCTAGAGAAGTTAAACCACTGGAGACATAACATTTTTTGATCAAGTGTCTTTTAAATCAATTTCACTATAAATTAAAATGTATAGTTTCTTCTCTAGTTCATTTTTTATTTAAAAGACGCTATGGATTCAAGCCCTAAAAATCTATAGTTAAGCAAAAGAGAAATTTAACTAACATAGGATTATAGAAATATTGAATCAAATTTAAATCAATTGCTATCCAAGGAGTTTTGAATGGAATCAACAAATTGTTTCACTTCTAAGTGAAAGCTTTATAGGTCTAGAATGAAATTTTTATTGCTGTAGTAAACACAAGTTTTGTATGTTAGTGTCAATATGGAGAGAGAAAACCCATGCAGTTTTAGCTCTTAAAACTGGGCTATCTTATTAGTGATTAAGGCCAGAAGTCTCAAGAGCTGATACAAATTTTAACTTCTAAAATGAATATTCATTATTTTTCCTAATTAATTCTAAATACTATGAAATTGTTTGTTTTAAATCCTGTTTTCATCCCATCGATCTATTTGTGTCTATCTGTAGACACAAACTGTCTACACGGGCAAAGAGGCCCCTTGATGCCTGAAGATGAAGTGGACACATTCAAAGAGTCTGGAAGGAAGACACTCCTGAGGCGACACACAGGAATTCCAGCACAGCCCACGAGGCTCTGCGGCCTCATTCCCTACACATTTGGGCATCCATTTACAGGGCACATCCAGTCCTTCCCCTAACAGAAATGATCCTAGAAGCAGAGAAGAACACAGGCCTACTCTCACGGAATTTATGGTCCAAAGCAGGAAAAAGAACAGACGTCAACCAATCAAACATCACTGGGAGTTGGACAGTTCGGGGACATTAGAGGAGAGGATGTGGGCGAGGAAGAAGTAAGCTCTGGTCTGCAGGACTGCTAAGGATTCCCTTGACAGGAAGCAGGGAAAGGCGTGTGCAAAGATGCCACAGAGCAGGGGGTACTGAGTGAAAACCAGTGAGCCTAAAGCAGAAGTGGTGACAAGCATGTGACACGCTTAGGTGACAAAGACCCAGCAGGAGGGGTCCACAAGCCCACGGTAAATTTTCTGCGTCAATACTGACACCAATGAGAAGACGAGGGCTGCTCACAGGTAGTTCAGCTTCTGCCCCACTGATTAACAAAGTGAAGGGTTTTTATGTAGAGCAAAAACCAAACAAACAAAAAAATACTGATTATGGATATCATAAAGTCAGTCTGTTTTCAAATCACAAGCTTTAGATTATGGTATGGTCAATAAGGTTTAGAATACACTGTATGCTGGGTGGTGGTGGTGCACACCTTTAATCCCAGCACTTGAAAGGCAGAGGCAGGCGGATCTCTGTGAGCTTGAAGCCAGCCTGGTCTACAGAGCCAGTTCCAGAACAGGTCCAAAGCTACACAGACAAACACTGTCTCAAAAAAAGAGAGAGAGAGAGAGAGAGAGAGAGAGAGAGAGAGAGAGAGAGAACACTGTATAGTTGAACAGAAATAAATAATATATTATATTCTGTAATTCTTAGGTCAATAGATCAGTCTTTTCTTTGAAAATAATCTCACCCAAATGGCTTCCTTGAAATTATTTTTGGCTATGTAGTAAACAAAAGGAAAATAGCCTAAATGTAGCTCTTTTTCAATGTTTCTAGCTGAAAAATTTCATGAATATAAGCTAAATCTATTATAAGGACATCTCAATATTAGAAATTGGGTTAAAAATTTAAGTTATCGCTTTGAATTTTGGGGAGAAAGAACGACCAACATAAGAAAGGCTAGTTAGTGTTTCCTACCATGTTCACACCACTTCTCTTCTCCAGCAGGATTCGAAACAAATTAGCTGTAATCTTATTATCGTGCACACCTTGCCCAAGGCCACGGTTATCATCTTGCATGAGTCTTCGATCCATGAAGACTTCAATTTGACCTGAAAACAAAGAGACAAAGAAATCTAACCCGGATAGTTTTATTCAGACATTTACTGAGGACCACTTAAATAGAAACCCAGGTCCCTGGCTTTGAACTTGCAAGGAGGAGAGGATCCAGACACACAGAGATGACGGGCTGTCTTTTGATCATAGGTCAAAGTAGCTACTGAAAGACATAAAACACTGTCATGTCTGCTTTTCTCCATGACTGCTTAGCAACCACTTTTCAACAGCACTGTGGCTACAGAAGCAGGTCTTCAACGTGTGAGTCTCTTGGGGGGACAGGTCATAGTACCACAATCAGGGAAAACAACACTACAGCATCACTTTTGCAAACTTAGGCAAACTGTCTAAACTTGCAGAGTTTGAGGTTTCCAATCCAATAAATCATGATGATAAGACAGATTTCTGAACATGATAGACTAGCAAAAGTAAATTACAGCTGCAATTTGTACATGAAATTTTCCAAAAGCCTTCGTGTTAAGAGGCCTGGCCCGTAGTTATCAGGGCCACTTGGCAGTGACTAGATCAAAACTAACTTCATTAATGGCAGATAACTCACTGATATGTATATAGATAAATGAGCTGTTACAAGCAAGGCCTGGCTGAAGGGGTCACTGGCCCAAAGCTCAAAAGGTAGACCTTGACCTCAGTCAGCTCATTCTCTTCCCCTTTCTCTCCCTGTCTCTTTCATTCTTCTTCATAACTACCACACTGTCACCTCACTACAGTCAAGAGCCAAGTGATTACAGAAGTCAGAGATCATGAGCCACATGTAGCTTCTTGCCTGATGGGGGAATGTCCTTCTGTCTATATGTTTCTCTTATTAGTTGATGAATAAAACACTGACTGGCCAGTAGCCAGGCCAGAAGTATAGGCAGGGCTACCAGACAAGAATTCTGGGGAGAGGACGTAGAGAGGAGCCACCAGGGAGACACCACGTAGCTCCTGGGAAGATAGGACGATGGGCATTCTCCAGTAAGATGAGGCCATGTAGAAATACATAGACTAATAATTATGGGTTAATAATTAAGAGAGAAAGCTAGCCAGTAAGAAGCCTGAGCCATTGGCCAAACAGCTTATAATTACTAAAAGTCTCTCTGTGTTTGTTTGGGGCAAAATGGCTGTGGGACCAGGCAGGACAGAAACTTCGCCTACACTTGCCTGAAGTAGTTTCAGGCCTTCTGTCAAAATGAAAAACTAATGAATACGCTTATGTCTAAAAACAACCGTGGCATGTCATCTCTTTATTTGAAGAGTAAACATAGTCAGTCACCACATGTAGTCCCCATAAAACCCCAAGTTAACTACTTGTGGGACTCGGAGAAGAGTAGCTAATGGGAGTATAATTAATAAATCTGACCACAGAAATATTATACACTTAGAACTTTGAGAGCAGAATATGAAAGAACACATACCAGAAGCCAAGCTGGCTGTGCCTAAGGACTGAGCTGCGAGCAGTGTGAGCCGGTGCTCTGCATCCTGGATGTACGACATCGTGCTCATCGGGTAAACATTGGCTTGAAGAGGCAATTTGCTCATTGTCCTTCTAGGTTGAATCTATGAAGCCAAGCAATTCTCACTTCATAAATGTATTATTTACATATATGCTTTCATAAATTAAGATTATTTAGTTATCTCTTTCCCAAAGAGAAAAAGGCATAACTTCTGTTCTTGTTCAAGCAAAGAAATATTTAAAAATTAAAACACTCTTTAAAATCATTTGCAGAGAAACCACAAGGCTCTTAGAAGACAATTTTAAATGTGAAAGGTAGAACTTGTCTGGATTTTAAAACAGGCATTATTTAAAGTCACAATAAAAATGCCCAGCAGAAGTCGTGTAGTTTCCCATATTTGCATAAAACAAATTATGAAGGTATTAAGTATTCATTTCTCATCTAGATCTAACATGCTGCTTTTGTAATGAATGCTAAGCACAATAGCTCTCTATCCCCATTCAAGAACTATCTATTATTCTTGAATCAGTTTTAATAAATACCACCGAGCTTGCCACCAAATCCTCTAACATATTATATTATAATAAAGTGCATACTTATAGTTAAAAAAATTCAGTGTTTACTCTTGTTTATTTTAAATTGAGATAGTTCTAAACTCCGGGCTTTTGCAGCCTCGTGTTTGAATGCATAAACTAGAATTTTACCTTTTGAGTGACTGTCAATTACCAAAAGCATTTGATATCCTCAGGACCCTGTTGTCACTGGATTTTATTCATACCACTTAAAAATGCCATTTCCTTCTTTAAACTTGTCAAAGTTTAAAATGAAACCCAGAAACAATAAAGGCAGAAAGTTAGCACAGTGGGTCACCTGAGCTGAGTGCCAGCAATGGAGGGGTGGTCCTGACCAGCATGTCCCAAACCTAACCGTCAGCTTCCCCAACCAGCCCCCTTCCCCACCTGCTGGCTGTGCTGAGTCTCTTCAAATTCATATTTGACTATGACCTGTGAGACTGATCTTACTTTGAGATAAGTGTCTTTCCAGAAATCGACATGGCCCAAACCTGGCATCCGTGTAAGAAAGAAATGTGGACACAGACACACATAAGGTGACAATGTTAGAGCAACATGTGACAACAGAGGAAGGCCCTTCCAGAGACCCAGTGATGCCAGGGACCCCACCCCACCCATGTAAACTAGACGCTACGAATTAGCAAGGGAGGGTTTTTGCCAGGAACACAGCCTTGCACACAACCCGACTTCAGAGACTTGGTTTCCAAGAGAGAGAAAGGACAAAGTTCTGTTCTGCTAAGATGCCCAGTTTGTGGAGATACAAGTGCATGGCAACCACAGGAAAGGAATATGACAGTTAGGACAGGGTAGAGAGGAGGGGAGGAGAGAGGGGGAGGAAAAAGCTGGGCTGAGGGACAAAGGGGCAGGAGGGGAAGCTGAGAGGCAGGGGAGGAGGGAAGGATTGGAAGGGGGAGGGAAGCCGGGGAAGGAAGATGGAAGGGGTAGGCGGGCTACCATCAAAGAATTATCTATTGCTCTTAGTAATCCCTCTCTTTGCACCCTGACTGGACTGCATCTTTTAAAGCTAGAAACAGATGTAAAGATGCACGTGAAATCCCGTTCTCACTTTCCTCACCTCCTACCTGGGAGTCTTCTTTCGTCTGCCCAAGAACTACTATTTCCACAGTTAAAATAGGGTTTATTTTTTAAGAAATGTTTACACTGTGGGCTTGAAATGATATCAGCATCTCGTCTGATCATTGGAAAGAAGATAAACATTTCTAGCAATTCACTTTTGACTAAGTTTTCTTATTCATGTATACACCAATACATACAAACACTTATTTCTGTGAGATTTTAAGAAAATACTTTCTTTTGTATGTAAGAAAAATGAATCGTTATAGAATCAGAGTTTCATTTGAAAACCTAAGGGCTGGAGTAGAATTAGCATGTTAATCAAAGTGTACTCTGCAATTTCTGTTCTCTGGAGAAGATTTAAATTTAACTTTTTTTGCAGGAAATCATAGAAGAGGAAATTATCCAGCCCTTTCCACTTATAGCCAGTTGAAAATCAGACCAAGTAAAAAGCATATGTTGTGAAATTAGTGCTATTCATAGCCAGGAATTTTTGAAATGCTAATGTTTAAAAAATATGCTCATGTTTTTACTGGTATTATTCAAAGACACATTGTCACACATTCAAAATAATAGAAATGAAGATGGTAATTCAAAGGACCCCTCTTAAGTACTATTAAAAGATCAACAACATACAAATAAAATGCAAGAATTAATTTTCTTACTGTATTTATAGTTGCTGTATAATGGCTTTGATGAAATGTATAGCAGTCCACATTTCTACAGTGGCATATACTTCTCTATGTACACACAGGCAAGTGTAAATGTGTGTTCCCATCCATTGTTAACAGACTCAAAAACTATCATAAAACTTAAAGGATGCCATTATTATATCATCACACACACACACACACACACACACAAGCATTAAGAGAAAAAATATATATATATATATATATATATATATATATATATATGAGTTCTTTATGAAGAAAAAAGATGTTTCTTCATAACTATGTTTCCTTTCTAATGAAGTGTTTATAGTCACCAAATTCTCATTTTTAGGATTTATTTTTTTAAAAATATGTGTGATGGTGTGTGTGTGTGAGGGGGGGGGGTGTTAATATGTACCATGTGCATACAGATGCCCAGACAGACCAATCCCCTGAGACTGGAATTACAAGAGGTTTTAAGCATCTGACATGGGTGATGGGAACTGAACCCGGTTTTCTTTAAGCAAGCACTCTCTCTAGGCCTTAGCTTTCAATTTGAAAAAAATAAACTTTTACAAATAGACACTCTAAAAACATGATCTCTCTCAAAAGATTTGTTGTAACTTTGGAAATCTGACTGCAGAACCTATAAATGACTGAAAATTTGGTATTATTTTAGAAATAGTTTTCAATTTTAGGGATATTTTTCAAATGACTCAAAATTAACTGGACAATTATCCTGTACAAAAATTACACACATGAACATATACACCCCCTGTATATACCAAATAAAAACGTGCATAAAAATTACAGACAAATACAACCATCATAGAAAAAGTTACCTGGAATCCATTTAGGTCAGTATAAAATCTGTTTTGGGTATTTATTTTAGACGAAATTCTCATTGCAATCTCACGGTTATGCACATTCCGAATGTCCACAATATTAGAAACTTCCATTGACTGTCCTTCTATCCCTAAATGTAAGACAATATATACACATTAACAAAGCAACTACCAAATGTAGTTAGTGTAGAGAGCTCTTCTCAGACTTACATGTGTTTCCCTGCTTTCTGATTCTCAACAAGTCCTCATGCATGAAATGGTGTTAGAAAGTTAACATTTTTCTGTCTTGATACCAGACTGTAAACAGCATTTAAGAGTATATGCAATTCCATAACAGGATGAGACAAATCAGGAATCTAACAAGCCACATATTTCTCAATGAGTTCCAGGGGGAAGGAAGACATGAAGCGAGAGAGACCAGGCCCCTGCAGACTGGCCCTCCCTTGCCGGTACCATGTGACTTTACCCTCTCTACAGACCCTAGTATGAGAAGCAAACTCTAGCAAACTCTTTAACAAGGTGAACTACATAAAAAAAAGGGGGGGAAGAATTGAGCACCCCCTCTTTCCCAGGAACCAAAAGAACGGATTGTGTACAGAAAGCGACACCAGTCACAGAAAGGAGTCTCGGGTGTGTGGTGTTTGTGGAAAAGGTTGTACATGGAGCTAGCTCAGGCACTTCGGATGTCAGTAAATACACCGGAAATTAAGAACCATGTTTTAGTTGGGGTTTCTATTGTGGTGATAAAGCACCATGATTAAAAGCAAGATGGGAAAGACAGGATTTATGTCAGCTTACATGGGCCTATCACAGATCATCATGAAGGGAAGGACAAGAATTTGAAGCAGGAATCTGGAGGCAGGAGCCATGGAGAGGAGCTGCTTCCTGTCTCGCTCCTCATGGCTTGCTCAGCCTGCTTTCTTATAGAACCCAACCGCAGCAGAGGGGCAGCAGTGCCCACAGTGAGCTGGGCCCTCCTGCATCAATCATCCATCAAGAAAACGCACCACAGGCCAACCCCCAGGGCAATCTGGTGGGAGTACCTCAAGTGAGGTTCCCTCTTCCGGAGTCTGTGTGAACCTGACATGAAACTAGCCAGCACAGACTGCAAGTAACAGTACGGCGCTGAGGACAGGAGACGGCCCAAGTCTCCACCAACACAACCTGCAAGGAACTCATAGAGCTTTTTCTGATACAAGTGGTTCTTCAACTCTAGCACTGCTCCTGACGCCAACTACAGGTTCACATGTTTTCAGCTCTCAGAATACGAAGGCTGGGGTGGAGGGCGCACACCTTTTTTAATGGCCATAGTCAGAACTATGAACCAGTCAGCCTAAAAGAAAGACTACCTCCTCTACTATTGACAGGTTAGATTAATGTGTGTGTTGCCTGTGTGTGTGCTCGAGTATGTGTAGGTGTGCCTTTGTGTGCACCTGTGCAATGCATGTGTGTATTACACAGCACAACAGAATCGTCTCTGAGCTAGGATATACATCACTTTTCTTATGTTTGCAGAAACCAGAGAGTTTTTAAACTAAAATGAAAGGCATGTGGAATCCTAATAAACCTAAGACACCCAAATACAGAACGTGGGGCTTGGGGTGTAGCTCAGTGGTAGAGCACATGCAAGCTTAGCCTAAGTGTGACCCTGGGTTCAATCCCCAGCACCCCAAACCCTCATTAGATCCCTCAACAAGAACACAAGTGCTCCTGTAGCATGAAGGAGAGCAGATGGTGACAGGAAGTTAACTGAAGTCGCCAGGAGCGCCTGCAGCATTTTTAGTGGTGTTTTATCTTTCCTTCTCTCTAGATTAGCTATCCTCTCCGGGGTCAACAGAATACATGAAATAAAATGAAGTCTTAACAAGAGAGAACATCATTAATTTCAATTCATGTCTCTCCAGAAAACATTTACAAAGAACATGCTTTAAGGAAAAAATTAATAATTTCATGTTACCTCTGGCAATGATAAATTATTCTACCGAGAAAGCCATCTTTCTCAAGACCAGTACTATGCTCAGATCCTGTTATGGCAACAAATACTTGAAGCCCCTTAAAAGAAATGCTTATGACCATTCATTTAAATTCTGAACCAGGACAATGCTCTAAAATAAGATCAAACTTAAAATGCCTATTACAAAACAAAAACAAGCCCATAACTGCAATAAAAGCAAATCAGTGCTCTGAGTCCTCAAAGAGGATGAAGAACCAGAGTGTGTGAGTAGGAAGGAGGGCGGGCAAGCTTCCCTCTTCTGTGTCAGTTGTTCTCTGAGCTTCTCCAGAGTGAGGGGTGAATGGAGGGCACCCAGGGGCAGGTCCAGACCACTGGTCTGGGTTCTCTGCATAAATGACCGTGAGATGGTTAATTTCACCAAAGTGGTTCTCTCTGGCTTGGGCAGCCAGGGCTTTTAAAGCTCTCATAGGTTTCCTGTAATCTTGGGAAAGAAAAATGGCTCCAATTGTACAAGGTTTAAGGCCCCCTTAAAGAGGGGGACAAACAAAGGCACAAGAGGGGTGCAGTAAGGAAGTAAGTGCTAACTAAGACCTTCCCTCTTGAAGCAGAGAGAAGGGGGAGTGTTTGCAAGATTAGAGTTGGTACAAAGTGGTCCACAAAACAATGCAGAGGCCAACAAGTCTCCCTCCGCTGCCTCAGTGGTGTGTCTTCTTCCCAGAGTCCATTAGCTTTCCACAGGCACACTATCTCACCATGCTTACAGTCCAGTTCTAACCTCTGGGCACTCCGAGGGCTGAATTCCGGCTCAACAGAAATAGCCAAGGGAGAAAAGCCCTCCCTCATCAAAGGGAGGAGACAAAGCTGGCCTGTGATGAAGTGGAAACACCTGGGGAAACACAGTGATTTTCACCATGGGCAACGTGTGGTCCTCACCCCGTACATAAACGTCGATGACTGAAGGCACAAGCCGAGACTGCATGAGGCAGCCGGCGGTATCGCCATGTACTATTGGCACAACCTTGCTGTGTGCTTCACAGGCCATTTCTTTAATCCTGACCCTCAGCCTCGGGACGAGCCACTTGCTAATGGTACCAAGGCTGACGCTATCAGGGCTAAACCTATCTCAATCACCATGCCTCTGGCAGACGGATGACGGGGAAGAGAGGTCTGTGAGAGGAGAAGCCAGGCTTGCAGGAACTGAGTAGAAAGAAGACCTTCAGCTGGCTACCAGGTGGGAAGAGCAGGGATGTAGTAAGGAAAAGGAGAGGGGGGGAAGGAGGGAGAGAAAAGGGTGGGAAAGGGAGGTATTTGTTGAGCTGATAGGCTGCACAAGAGCGATCTGCTGAACTCTAGTTAAGAGACCAGGCTTGCCAGCACCCAAGCCTCTACAAAAAAAAATCCCCAAGCCCTATTTTTAAAAGGCCACTTTCATTAGAAGCCAAGAAAATTAAATGTATTAAAAACCCTGGCTATTCCAACGGTAGAGAGGTTCATAGAGACATATAGTGGTTGGGTCTGGTTGTTTTCAGTGATTTTCATCGCAAGCTTTTTATAAAGCAGTATATTTATTTTAAAAATGAGCCCAGACACGAGCTGTGCTCCAACTGCAGTTCTTACTGACTGAACTACACTTGATCTTGTCCACAGGCCCAGGAAGTGATCCTCCCCACTTCAGGAGTGAGATGAACAGGGCTGTTAGCACAGGAAGCACACATTTGCATGTCCTCTGCCTACCACTCCTAAGGGTACAAAAACAAAACAAAACAAAACATGGGAGAACATTCCAGATGTCTGTCAACAAGGAAATATGACTGGAAAACCACCGTGCTATGGGAGACAGTAGCTGCCCAGGAAAAGAATGAGACAGCTGTCTCTCCTGGCAGAAAGGGCCCGGGAGAGTCTGTGCACTTGTATAGTGTGATAAACCTTAGGCTGAAAATGGACACGAACACAACTCTGTGCATTTCCAGAGGTGTGGACGTGTCCATGTACACACATGAACATACACATGGGGCAGAACCATTCCACAGGCTTTACATTACATGCACAATGTGTCAAACGTATGGCAAAAGAGTACACACTGCTATTTGTATTTATATGAATCCTCTAAAGCATTAGCTTAGTGGCCTAAGATGTATATTCCTTGAGAGAGTAAATCTGGAGGCCGTCCTTATCGCGCCCTGGGTCTGAAGGTGAGGCCAGGAAACATCCAGAGATGTAAAGACTCTGTGCATGGCAGGAGGACCCCAGTTCCCATCAGTGAAAATGATGGTGGCCACTATGTCTCCTCTGCCTGCTGACCACTCCCTACGCCCTTGTCACATCCTTGCCAGAACTCATTCGGTCCTGAACAGACCAGTGTGGGCCATCTCCTCCACATCAGCTCATCCTAACAGTTCAGAATTACAGAGAGTATTCATTCCAAGGGACAGACGCTGCTAAATCAGAGAGCACTCTGTCACACCCAATCAGATACAGCAACAAGAGGAAAGGACATAGAAAGAAGAGCAAGAGAGCCCTGCCCACTTCCCAGCAAGAAGCCAGTATCTCACCAAGTGGCCTTCACTCTGTGATTAGACAAAGAAAGGAAGAGGGAAACTGGCCTGTACCCACCTAGAAAAAAAAAATAGTCCTATGTCCTTTCCTGTGTGGGTCCTAGCTTCAAATCTGTTTTTTGTTTTATCATCTGTCTATCTATCTATCTATCTATCTATCTATCTATCTACCTACCTACCTACCTACCTACCTACCTATTCATTCAGGTGTGAGTGTGTGTGTGTGTATGTATGTATGTATGTATGTATGTATGTATGTATGTAAGCAATCTGGAGTACATGTGTAAACCAGGAAACTAGAATTGGGACATGGAGTGACCGTACATTAAGGGAGAGGTTGCCATTGCTCTAGGTTGCCCACTGAAAGGTTCAGGCATTATGCTGGCCTGCCCCTGTCACCTGGTGGAACAGGCAGTGCCCTGGTCAGCCCAAGGTTCCATGGGAACTAAGTCTGCACGCAGGTGCAGAGGACCCCTTTAAAAGATAAGTCCCTGCCCCTTTACACTCTCTGTTTCTCTGTTCCCGCCTCTCTGTTTCCCACTCTGTCTCTCTATGGTGACCGGCCATGGCGGTCAGCCATTTACCCCTGTTCCTCTTCTTAGTCTCCCCATTCTGCCGGGCC